CTCTCTCTCTCACACACACACACACACACACACACACACACACACACACACACAAATAGGCGTAGATTATTCAAAGGAAGATGTCACCCAAATATGGAAAGGGAATGTTCATGGTCTCTAGATTTAAAGGAAGTAATGTAGGTACTTAGACTAGAAGTAAATTTAAGTGAAGGATCATGAGCAAAGATAATACAGGAAGGTAGATTAGGTGAAGTAGTGTTGAAGTTAGTGCAAAAATTAATGCAGCTGTAGATTCACTTTGTCAAGACAAATAGCAGCTCATGTACCTAAGTGCGCTCTCCATTCTGTATTTTAATATTGTCACCTTTGGGAAAGAGCTGGCTTTACATTGGCATCTATATGGAATGCACATTCCTGGGTCTCTGAAAATTTTCATGTTTTATCTCATATGAGAGAAAGTGGGAGGGATTGTTGGGAAGCCTGTGGCCTTGGCTGTTGTATAGAAAACAGTTATTTTGCTAAAATGGTGGTGAGCTCACATTTGCTTTGGACCTGAAGAACCCAGCATTTTACAAGGAACAGGGGCAGAACGAGATCAGTCCACTTGTCCTGGGACCCTTTACTCATTACATTAGCTTTCACCTCCAGAATCACCGGGTCCTTCTCTCCACATGGTTTAACCATGAAATGAAAATCACAGGGGCTGGTGAGATGGCTCAGCAGGTAACTGGACCATTAGTGCTTTTGATCACTCTTAACCTCTCAGCACCACCTAATTAATATTAAACTGCAGTTAATGCTATTATGATTTTCATGTGTGGTTTGTTCAAGACCAGGATGTGTCCTTAATCCCAGCACGTGACTTATGGTATCTTTCCATATTCTGCTTCTGCTATGTCATTTGCATCTCCAGAGAATACCAATCTCATTGCTTCATAATTTGCTTGCTTTTCAGGGAGTCAGCATTAGTCATTTACCTGTTTATTGTCACATTAAGCAAGTGATTTTTAAAGGGAGAGGTAGGGACCAGGGATGCAACTCAGTGCCAGAGTGTATGCCCAAGCATGCTTGAGACCTCAGTCCAGTCTTAGAACTAAACTGGACTAAACTTTCAATTAATGTGATTTGTATAATAAAACTAACTACTCCTAAAAGAGTAAAAAGCTGGCATTGCCAGAAAGACACATGGGTGTGACTGACAGCCTTTAAAAGAAAAGGTTGTTAGTTAACTGCTTCAGAAGCACAGATAGGACCTTGAACGGGAGATGCCTGAACCTCATTTCATCTACTCAGTGATTTTGGCTTCATGCCCTCTCCCCTCAGCCCCCGAGTTGGGCTAATGCTCAATCAAGGCAGAAGGCAGCTATTGTAAGGTGAAGGACTGCTAGAGAACAGAGAGTTCACAGAGTACGAGTAGGGTCCAGGAGCAGCTTTGTCCTCTTCATTCCCCACCTCCCCACTACTGTGCTTAGCTCATAGTAAGTACACAGTACACAATGATGTTCACATATTGTAAGTAACTCAGAGTTTTGAACAGCTTTGTTTTCCAGAGCGAGCTTCTCTTTGAACAGGTGCAGCCACAGGACCATTCCCTCTTCCGGGAACTAACTGCTACACTGCCCAAGGAGCACTCTAAACTCATATCTCCATCCTCCTGTCTTTGCTTTTGCTTCCAGGAAAACAGCTCAATGGTCCAAAACCCATCACACCTTCAGCAACGGTCAGAATTCCTTACAGTTCCTTGGAGCTGGTGATAGGCAATGGGCCTAGAACAGTTGGGACATCGGTATTAGACATGCTAGGCTTCATTGTCACTCACTAATGATTTGCCTTCATCATTCCCTAAATTTGTTTCATCATTTGTACAGTGGATATTTCAATCCTCATGGCTGAATATTTAAAAGTGAGTTAAAATATTTAACTTACTTTTTTTAATCCCTCAATGTAATGTTAGCCCTTAGGATTTGAGCATTCATTTTTCTTGGATGCTTGGGACTCTTTATTTCACCAAGGCAGGTATCCCTCCATCTTCTCTGATGGCCTTTCCCTTTCCCTGCAACCTTCTTTCTCAGATTACTGATTACCCCCCCCTTTAAATACTAAGATCACAGATAGGCACCTGACTCCTGTTTGTGGGGTTCTGGGTATTGAACCCAGGTCCTCATCCTTGCTAGGCAAGCACTCTACTGACTGAGCTACATCTCCACCCCTCTTTTTTTTTCTCCATATCCCCTCCCTCACATTTCTTCTCCTAAAGTCAGACAGGGTTCCTTAGCTTGCACCCTTGTGTTATGGAGGTTCACCCTAACATCTGGACCACTGCCCTGAAACTTCCGTCCAGGTTCTCCTGAGAGAGGTTGATACTGGGGTAGAGAAGCACCCCAGGCCCGGGGCCATTGGTACAAGTTGTACAAAGACTTGTAAGCTTCTAATGGCCTCAGTGTAGGAGGAAGGAACTCTGGACCTCTTTTCACATATGCCCTGTCCTTGGTGTCTCTGCGTGTGTTTCTTAAGCTCCATTTAGGCTTCCCCTGCCTCCTTCTGTTTCTTAGAGTCTGGCAATCCTATTCTCCATGTTATGGCTACAGCTAAATCAGATCTGAACATGCTGTTCCCTACCAAGCCTCTGAGGCACCCAATTGTCTGCAGAATCTAAACCGCCTGAAATGCAATCTTCTGCCATTTGTCGTCTGTCAGAGGTCCCACCAGATACACTGTGATTGATCCCATTCCATCAGTGTGCTTGTGATCTTTTCCTGCCCTGTTTTTCTAACTCCTCTGACTAGTAAATTCCAACTCAGTTCTTCCAGAACCAGCTCAGAAGTCCCCTTCTCTGTGAAGCCTCCTTCCTTAAAATGTTAGGTAGAAGATAGGTCAGTGTGAAGCCTCCCTCCTCAAAATGTCAGGTAGAAGATAGGTCAGTGTGAAGTCTCTCCTCAGGGTGTTAGGTAGCAGATAAGTTAGTAAAAACAGACAGCACAGGATTACATTGATTCTCTTTTGTATTCTTGAAGCATTTGATTTTTATATTGGTGCTTGTATATTGAATACAGATCTTCCAGAGTAGGAGTGGAAACATTGTGTTTTTAAATGCAGATGATTGTGCAAGAGCTAGGGCCTTGAGCTTGCCCTGAGGCCAATGCCCTGCTGAAAAAGTCTTGAGTGCTCACCCCAAAGGCTGAAGCCAGCCTCACTCCTCAGTGAGAGTAAGTCTTGTTCTTTCCACTCAGTTCACGGCAGAAACCAAAGCATAATGTATTAGGAGAATAAGCAGTTCCTCCATGAGAGCCAGTTCTCAGCCAGAATTGTCATGTTCTTCCAAAGTAAGGGGATCCGCTCGGGTGAGTCTAGGAAGATTATATAAGTTAAGAGTTAAAAAATGAAAGCTTTGGGCTGCAGAGATGGCTCAGTGGTTAAGAGCATTGGCACTGTTTTAGAGGATCCAGACTTGATCCCCATCACCTACATGGTGGCTCCCAAACATCTGTAACTACAGTTCTAAGAGGATCCAACTCCCTCTTCTCAGCTGTACGGAAGGACATGCATGTGATGCACAGATATACATGAGGCAAAAACCCACACAAATGAAGTTAAAGTTAATAAATCTAAAATAAAAACAAAATAAAGCTGTGCAGTGGGGATGCACACCTTTAATCCCGACACTTGGGAGGCAGAGGGAGGTAGACCTCTGTGAGTTCTAGGCCAGCCTGATCTGCAGAGTGAGTTCCACAACATCCAGGGCAGTTACCAGTGAGAAACCCTGCCTTGAAGAAAAAACAAACAAAAAAAGCAATAAATAAATAAAAAAAATCTAATAGCTTTGATGAAGATCTGT